TACCAAGAAACGAAGAGAGGCAGTACTAAAAAGTCCGCTGTGTTGTCTGTTTCGTAGGAGTTATGGGTTGGTTGTTTTTCTTTTTTTCCTGAAACATCATAATTCAGCAGTATCTTTGGCAACACTTTATCACAACCTGAATTTCAAAAGAAGAATCTTAACAACAATAAGAATCAATGCTTATATACAGGATATGATTGGGGAGGTTTTGCATGCACTAGTCTGTCCATCGTCGGTTGGTACATAGAGTAAGGTCAGAACGTTAAGGCAGAATGTACTTGGAGGCCACGCCTCCCTACACGGAGAAGGGAGAAGATCGGTTGGTTGGTTTTTAGTGCAAACTTATCAAGGCTTGTGCTAAAGTGTTGCCGGCACTCACGTATCAATCAAAGCTCACGCGGCAGCTCCCCGGATCTCGAATAAAGGTAAAAGCATCTCATATCACAAATAAGGTGCGGTATCTCTGTTCAGACGCCATCGCGGACCTGCCTCCAAACCCACCTCTGCCAAGGGGCCCCAAGGGGACAGAGAGAGGTGGTTCGCTCTGGAGAGAGGACACCGGCAGGGCGTGGAGGGCAGCTGTAGTGCCATCCTACATCGTCTGGAAAATGCCCTCTGTTCCTCCGGGTGTGGAAGGATACCCCCGTCTTGTAGCAGAGATGGCTCCCAACCCAAACCACAGACCAGAACGCCAGATCCCCATGGTTAACCGGCTGACTGGGGAGTTTTCTGCTCCAGCTCCCCAGGGGATCTTTCCCAAAGTATGGGATTGTTCTGGTTTGGGTGGGGGCCCTGGGATTGGAACCCAGATCTCGGCATTTAATTCAGGCCCCAGCACAGAGGAGGGGACAGGACTTGCCCTTAAGAACAGCCCCGTCCCTGTTTGCTCATTCTCAGAGGCAGGGAGCACCTCCAAAGTGGCTCACCCTGGGATCTCCAAGATGGGGGGTGGAGGACAGGCAGGCTGGGATTGTCAAGCCCCCAGGGCTGCTCTCATTTCTTCCAAGGAATCTAGGTGTCTGACTCACTCTCTCCAACAAGAATCCTGAGACTTTTTTTTTTTTTTGCGCTGTCCATTTTGGAAGGGGGTGGGGGTGGGATTTCCCCCCCCACCCCCGAAATGGCAGAAGGAGGTTTGGAGAGAAACACAAGCTTTAAAAGGTGGTGGGGGCAGAGAAGGGGTAACACAAACGAGAAAAGAGATACCACAACTTTTGATTACAATAAAGAATCTCAAGTAACTGTCTATTTACAAGTCCACACTAGTTTTTGCATATGCAATAGGTAGCCAGTGCTAAGCAGAGGTTCATCCCTGGAAGAGGTGACTTGCCACATCCAGCTAGTGCCCGGGTCATGGGACACTCCACTCCGCTCTCTTTGGGATGGGAAGGCGGGGGCCAGGATTAAGGTGTTTTACAGCACGGAGGAAGGACCCAGCATCTGCGCTGTCGCCAACACTACGGAGAAACTGGGATTGGCTTTCGGGCAGCAAGATATTTTCAGACTCACCCTTAGTTGGCTGCTGCGTGAGGACTGATATGGTCCCTTGTTTGGATGTATATTTCAGCTGACTTTCGCCCTCCAACCCCTGCAGTTTAATAGACCTGCTTCCAGCACTAAATGCAACTGACTACTGAGCCGTCTTATTAAAATGTATCTCAACTGTCCCGGGATCAGAGGAGTCAAAGGTGAAGAGACCTCCTAGGTCGTCAATTCCATCCCCTTGGGGGCAGGGCACATTCCCCCCACAGTTTATCTCCTCGGCACTGATCTTACAGTTCATCCGAGCCCAGCCTCGTGCTCTGCAAATGGGAACTACAACCTGAAAGCAAAAGCACCAGCAGTTTTCCCTGTGTCTCCTGGAGCGAGACAGCGTTCAGACAGTAAGGCTGGGTCTATGGCCCGGGGGAAACGCTGATTCAGGAGTGCTGGGTTTTGTCCCCTTTTTATTCTTTCGGGCGGGTGGGGGGAATTCCTCGCTGTGAAATTTTTTTTGGTTTTTACATTACGCCAGAAGGAGGGCGCTCCTGTGGGGCAAAGATCTGGCCACCAGCCAATCGGTTGGCAAAGAAAAGCAATGGGGGATATGATTTTTGATACTTTATTTTCTCTATATTTAATTTGTAAGGTGGGTTTCCCCCCGGCTCCACTCTGAGCATCTGATTCTGGAATAGTCACTGGGCTCATGGCAAGGGGGGAGAAGGGTTTGTTTTGTACCAAGGGTTTACATGCATCATCAAGCCACAAAAGTCTCTATCCGGAATTAGACATCAACAAATTGACTTCAAACCTGAATCCCTGCTTCGGGCTACTGCTGTCCAAACAGCGGGGTGGCAGAGCTGGGAAACGCTAGGTTAACTTCAAAGATGGAGTA